AAGGTACATAAACTTTTGGGATTGACTGTATAGCCAATACATCCTTAATAGGATAAAGTTATTTCCTTTATTGATTTTATTCTCTAGTACCTCGTCGATAATATAAATACGTGTAATTTTTTTGTTTTGCATAAGAAGGCACAGAGCTATTTCGATTTTAAGACAAATACAGAAAACGAGCATTAAATGTATTATCGTCAATGAATTCAACGTTAAAATGTGTGCAAACAGTATTATACTAGACAGCCTGTATACATCCAGCCAAGCTTTGGCGCGTGTTCTTTAGTCCGGTGTCGGTGGCAGTTCGGAGGAATATTTTGGCCTGACCCGATTTTCCTCAGCAACTTTTTCAGTTATATGCATATCTACGGACACGCCCGCCCATTCCACGTACCCAAAACGACCCCTGATCCGCTCGGCGTGCACACATGCAGAAATTAAATTTTCATTCTACAGTGTAAGTGTTAGGAATATTTCTCGTCTGTTCAACATTGACAGTTCGACAATTAAATATTTCGAACTTTAAACTAAGATTCAGATTCCCTGACGGATACAACGATATCAAGCAGGATAGAATAATTGGTGTGACAATATTTAAACTTGATCGCAGTGCGAGCGAATCGTAACAAAAATTCGAATTAAAAAGTTGTTGCATGTATGCATGCCAAATGGGTTGAGAATCGTTTTGCCGTGTGCCGTACGCTCCGCGCATATAGTACCTTTATTATATTGCACGCGAATATGTATAAGCGATGCATCGCGATATCGCGATATTGTACAAATTTATACGGCGGCCTGGATGCCAGCAACTTCTTCGAGCCACCGTACCGCATCGGCTTCTGCAATTTAAACTTACACTGTCACGTTGTCGGTCAGAGTGAACGACCATCCTTTCAATGAGTTTCAAACGTATGCGGGTGGCATGCGCTCCGATTTTTCTCGCCGTTTGCATTTAAAAAAGAAAACTCCACCTCTTCAATGCAATGCCGACAACCAATATTAAATAATGGAATTCGTTTTTTTTTTTAGTGTCCTCCATCTTTCTGAAGGGTAAACTGCAATATCAAATTATTTTTTTTATTAGCATATTTCATAATTTATATTTTCGAACTTCATGCTGCATTCGCTGCTATCACTGATTTTTCATTTCCATAACGAGCTTGTTATTTCATTATCTGTTTCACTACTCTCTGCGAAATAGTATTTGATACAGTACAGGTAGAATACATGCAACTGAAATTGAGTTCCTTTATCACTAGGAGGGAATACGTCGAGGAGGATATGAGGGTTGTAAAGAAAAACGAAAGCCGGGTATCTCCTTTTCCAGTGATCGCGCAACACACGCCGCGAATCGTTTTCCCTCGAATGTCACGGTGGATCGGGTGGATGCGCCGGAGATCCGTTCTACAATTATCCGTTTCTTCTCTTCCCTTTCTCAGGCGAGCGTCGTTTCACGTTGACTGGCCGCGTCCTCGGCCTCCTCGAGTTTCCCAAGGACGCAGGACTCTTTGGTGGTAGTTTCTATGGGAGAGCCCAGCGGGCGGTTGTGGCGCGCGGCGTGCACTTAAGTACCGGTCGTATATCGAAAAATAGCTTAAGCACCGGTCACGTAGAAGCTGGTCCAGTGAGACGGTCTGCGCGCGCGATTTTGCCGGTATATAAGCACGTTTCACTGTTATTACTTTCACCGTGGTCGCTCTTCTTGGTCCACCTCGGTCATCTTTCCACCGTCGTCATCTCTTCTAGCTCATCCTCATCACCTTCGTTCTCTAGCATTCTTCTTCTCCTTTATTTCTCCTTTAGTGATGGCTCGACGTACAGTCTGTCCCACAAGACCGGCACATTTCCGATCAAAAAGCTGTCGATTAAAACTTTTATACTTAATCATATAAGAGTTTTAATACATTATAACATAGTTTGATTTAATTATTTGTTAGTCCAAACAGTTATTATTATTTTCATGTGTAAAATCTAGGGTTGCAAATCTTATATTAAATGAATAGAGCTTCAAATAAGATTAATTATAAGCGGGTTAATTAATATCCGAAGATACAGATAATAATCTTGTGAGACAGAGTGTACAAATCGTATCGTATGTTCGAGTGTAATTCATACGTTGCGCGCGTACCCGCGCGCTCAGGAATCCCCGGGACTAACTTAATAAGCGCCTCGCCCTGTCGCAACTCCCGTTCCCTCGGTTCTTACCCCCGGCTCATATGTATCCCGATCCCGTATTTAGTACGCGCTCTCTTCAAGTCGGATACACGTACCTACATCGATCATGGATAACGCGTGAGATTCGGTCGTTTCGCGCAAATCCTATCATGCAAACTGGCTGCAATGGACGCGTGTAACTGCGAGTTAGACGTGGCGTTAACAGATTACCGTGCGCGAATCCCCTTCTTATCCCTTGCCTGTTCCCGCAAACGATGATACAGAATATTCCAGGAACTGGAAAAATTGATTCCACGAAATGTTATTCACTTCAACAAATGTTATTTAGCTTTTAATTCCCCAGCTTGAAAGCTTTGTATTTAATTAATATGTAGAATCAAAGTAATTATCATGTCCGTGCAGTTAAAAACAGACTTTAATTATTTCTTGAAAAGTTTTAATGAGTTTCCAAATATATTAATTTTATACATAGTTGGTGGTAGGTGCGACGGGTTCATAAAAGGGGATGCGGATCTAATTACTCGCGAAAAACGATAGACAAAGTTAACTTTAATAGCTGCGGCGTAAAACGTTAATAGAGATGTTAGATCTTTACTGGCTTCGTCTGTTAATAGTGCAAAAATATTTTTACGATCTGATGCATAAAATTCGATTGTATTTTACGTATTAAAGGATACATAGTTAAATCGTCGTAAACGCGAAAGCACCCGATGTCAGCTGTACAAAATCGTATATGTAAATTAGACGATAAATTAGCAGT